GCAGCCCCCTCCCCTGCACGAGGCGGGCCTGACCCTGGGGTGCCCCAGCCCCCCTCCTTGCTCGTAGCAGCCCCCTCCCCTGCACGAGGCGGGCCTGACCCTGGGGTGCCCCAGCCCCCCTCCTTGCTCGTAGCAGCCCCCTCCCCTGCACGAGGCGGGCCTGACCCTGGGGTGCCCCAGCCCCCCTCCTTGCTCGTAGCAGCCCCCTCCCCTGCACGAGGCGGGCCTGACCCTGGGGTGCCCCAGCCCCCCTCCTTGCTCGTAGCAGCCCCCTCCCCTGCACGAGGCGGGCCTGACCCTGGGGTGCCCCAACCCCCCTCCTTGCTCGTAGCAGCCCCCTCCCCTGCACGAGGCGGGCCTGACCCTGGGGTGCCCCAGCCCCCCTCCTTGCTCGTAGCAGCCCCCTCCCCTGCACGAGGCGGACCTGGCGCTAAGGGGCTCCGCCCCCTCCCTGCTCGTTTCAGACCTGGCCCTCTTGCTTTCTGACCTGGCCTGGGGGAGCCCCCCCTCCCCGTCCTGCGTACCCCTGAGGCGAGCTGCAGAAACCCCCCAGGGCAGTTGGAGGGGTCAGAGGAGGAGCCTTGTGCACCAGGGTCCAGCCGGGGTCTTTTCCCTGTGGCTTGGGATTCAGGGGTGAAGGCCTTGGGGGGAAGGGATAACACGGAGCTCTCTTACTGCTATGCCTCCAGTGGGGTTGGGTTTTGGAGTCAGGCCTACCCTAAACTCATTGTGGGGCTCCCCAGGTTCTGAGTAGGTGCAATTCCCTTGGATTTCCACTGTGACCCCAGTGGCTGTTCTCCCCCATATTAACCCAAAAATCAGGCTAGCCCCAAACTGAGCCCCCCAGTCTCTCCCTCAGAACTCAGGGGAACTCTAACTCTCCAGAAACCCTGTCCCCCAAAACTCCTGCACTCCCTCATATCTCGCACAATGGTTCAGACCCTCCCTGGTTTTATGGTAAAAAAACCCTAGGGTTGATCTCAAGAATTTAATCTTCCCTACATAACATCTGGTTGCAAACAGTTTGGTGAAGCTACGGCTGGCTATGTGTGTGTGTGTGTGTGAGAGAGAGAGAGAGAGAGCGCGGGGTGGGGCTGCTGCTAGCCTGTGCATGGAGAAAGTGTAGGTGTGAGGGGAAGGGTTGTGTGTGTAGCAAATATGCATGAGGGCAGGATGTGCTTGTGGGAGGGCATGTGCGTTTATGTGAGGAAGGGCACGTGGGTGGTGGGTGGAGGCATGTGGTGTGTCGGTGGCCACGAGGGGTTGAGGTGGGCGGGCAAGTTCCCGAATCTGCAAAACCCTCAGTGTCCCAGCCGCAGCGCAAGTGCCAGGGGAAGACTTCATGGCCGAACATGCCTGGGAAGCAAAGTGCCTGAAGCTCTATCCCCAACCTCCCAGGAGGGAGGGATTCCCCCCTCTCCTCGGCACACTGGCCTGCCTGGAATCCATCTGCCCCTCATATATCCAGTGTGGTGCCAAGGGCTCAGGCTGGGTTTATATGTTATTCCCAAATACTCCCAAAGCAGCAGCAGACCGCTGCTGGACAGGCAGCACCAGACACCAAACCTGCTCTCCAGCAGGGACACTCCAGGCAGGAGTTCTACACGTGGCCTGTGTGTGCTGCCCCATGTGGAGTCCCTCAGCCAGTTCACTCCTCCTGGCCCATTCAGCCCTTGGCCCTGCTGGTGGAGCCGCCTGTGCTGGGGAGGGTGGTTCTGGTGACGTGGACATGCCTGTTCGGCGAGGAACTGCTCTGACCCATCAAACTCATCGCATGGATGGGCCATGAGAAACTAGCTCGTTTGAGCCAATAGCAAACCAGGCTGAGTCTGAACCAGTGACGGAGAGCAGTCGCGGGAAACCTGCGGTCTGAGGGCTGCAGACGGCCCGTCAGGGTTCTATATGTGGCCTGCCAGACATTTTGTTTACCTCTGCCCACACCCAGGGTTGCCTGATTCCCCTGGCCTCCATCCACATCAGGTTTTTCCTACCGGTGTTACTAAAGTGACATGCACAGAAACAGTGACTATGCGAGCCGTGCGCTTCTCTGCAGCCACTCAATCGGCACACCCCACAAATTCGAGATGCGCAAGCACAATGAGCAAAACTACCCTTGCCCGGGACACCTGCTTCATCACAATAATTTTGTGGCCCACTGAGGTGAAGGAAGGCCACCCAAGCAGCCCACTCACTAGCCACTGCTGACCTAGAGGCTGGGGAAGGGAGGGTGTCAGAGACTCCTAAATCACATAGTCTTTTTGTCTATTTCTTTGTTAATGTAATTAACACAAAATCCAGGGCAGCTTCTCTCCAGAAATGAACCAAGTAATGTTTGGGGGGAAAAGGGAACTTATGTGTGGTAGCACCCGAAGGGTTAAAATGCACTGTCTCCACCGGAAGCAGCCAGCATTGGGTCCCTGAGGTTGCAGGGATTAACTGTATCTCCATTCCTGGCTAGTTACTAGGAAACCAGCCATCTCCTAGGTGAGAACACAACAGGTAGGGTTTCCTGTTCATAAACCAACCTTACAGCCCTGGCTTGCCATAATCCAGCTCAGCCCTATGGTGACACAGGCCACCAGCATCCCAAGGTAACATGAGCCTTGAGGTGCAAAGCAAACCACAAGCCACTTACTCTGGGAGGGATTCCTTGGTGCCCGCCCTGCCCTGGGCTCAAGATACACAAGGGGCAGGGCAAGGCAGCGAGGAAGTTGCTCCAATGTAATGTCCATGTGGACGTGCGGCGCGGTGCCAGCTGGCTGGACGCTGGGGCTTTGCAAGGTTCAGATTTGAGTTCAATGGAAACCAGCCTCATTTAAACTGAGGGGAACGTGTCCACATGGGAGGCAGCCCCGTTTGCTGACATTGGTTTAAAATCGCTTGGCTACTTCCTCCTGCAGACAAACCCCAAGGCGTGGCCTGTGGGCTCCGGGCTGAGCGAGCAGGAAGCTGGTCACCGGAACAAGCAGCGCCCGGCCTTCACCTGTTCCAACCCAGCCCCAGTCAGGACTGGCCAAGGACCCTTCTAGTGCAACGTCTGAAAGGTCTCACCCCAGGCTTCAGTGTTGGCAGCCTCAGTGAAGGAGCTGAATGGGCCACAGGAGCTGAGAGGAGCCCATCCCCATGGTATCATGGCAGCAGATAGAGGGCGGGCACTGTTCTCCCTGGCCACCAGGCTGGACTGTTCCACCAGCCCCCCAATTAGCTTGGGAGACGTTTCATAATTAAAAGCCAGAAAGGGCTGGTGGCGGCAGCGCCCAGGGAGAGACCGCCCGTGTGATTACAGGGCTGCCCGCTGCCTCGCATCCTGCCTGGAGCGCCAGGCCCTGGCCGGTCCTGGAGGCACCGTGGCTCCTGGTGCCATCGCCATGGACACAGGCCTATATTTGTCGGTAATTACGAGTTCTCCCAGCTGGGCAGCCCAGAGGCCCTTTGTGTGGGACGGAGGGGCGTTCCCAAGGTACTGTGCCAAGAGCCCAGCTGTGCCCACCTCCCTGTGTGAGGCCAGGGCAGCTGCTGAGGAGGAAGCATCCAGACTACCACCAACCATGTCGCCCCCAAGCTTGGGGTACTGTCGCTTGGGCATTGGGCCCCATGGAGTCAGGGGGACAGGGATCGGGTCTAGCTGGGGCCCAGGGATGCTCACTGCCTGGGCAGGGCTAACCACGCTGGCACCTGACTTGGATTGCTACCGCAGTGAGAATCGGCCCCGGCGAGCCCTGGGCCACCCTCCTGCAACTCACCTGCAGGCCCAGCATGTGTCCGGGCCCCAAGTGCCAGGAGGGCCACACACAGGGCCTCAGCCACATGCTCTACGCTGGGGTTTACTGGCTGCTGGCACTGTCCTGTCCTGGGACCCTCCTGCTGCCCCTGTCCCTTGGGTGAGCACCCCAAGGGCACAGCTATCTCCCCCAGACTCCGAGACAGACCTGGGCAGGCTCCTTAGCCCATTAACCCTTTAGTACCAATCTGCTGCTACTCCCAGATCACAGAGCTCCTCCACTCACCCAGAGCTGACCCTGGCCCTCCACCCAGTGCATGGTCCCCTCTTGGGTCTGTGGCTGCTCTTCCCCCCCCTTCCACCTCTTCCTCGCTGCTCCAACATCTGGGGATCCCCCCGCATGGATACCTCTGCCTGTCTGGCACAAAGCGTGCCCGGGGGCTGCTGAGGCAAGGTCAAGCGGTGAGTCAGCAAGCAGAAGCAGGAATAGAAAGCTGGAGTGACTTCTAGGCCTGTTACCCCCCACTAGACCCCATTCCCCTCCCAGGGCTGGCCTAGACCCCAGGGCTTCTGCGTCCCCAGTTCTAACCTCTCAGCCAAAACTGCATGTGAGCAGGGGGAAGGACTGGGCAGCAGGCAGCCAAAGATACTTTGCATCAGCGTTGCCTGATCCGAAATCCCGTCTAATAAAAACTCAGCCCCTTAACGTGACTGGTCACCTGCTCAGAAGGGAATTTTCCATGGAAAAGCCCTTTTTAGAAGGGGTGCGGTGTAATCAGAAAGGTATCTGGTGTGGGGGGGAGGGGGCTGAGCTGCTCCGTGCCAGCCAGTGGGCTCTGCTGGGAGTCTTGGCAGTGACATGACTGGCTCTGGATTTAGCTGTGCCCTTGACTGTGAAAAGAACGTTCCCGTAACCCAGACCATAAATGTCCAGCTACACAGTCATTTTGGAAGCAGGACAAGCCTAAGAGCAGCCCTGAGCCTGCGCACTCACACACACACACACAGAGCGACTTGCACAGGGGTCTGTGCGCTCTCACACACACACAGTGACTTGCACTGGACTGTGTGCGCTCACACACAAAGAGCAACTTGCACAGGAGTCTGTGTACACGCACACACGTAGAGCAACTCACACGGGGGTCTGTGCGCGTACCCACACACACAAAGTGACTCAGGGGTCTGTGCGTGCGCACACACACAGAGCGACTCGCACAAGGGTCTGTGCGTGCGCACACACACAAACAGCTGGGGTTCAGTTCTGGGCAGCAGCCTCCACTCATGGACTAGAGGGGGCCCCAGCCTGGAATGTTAGAGCCCTGCGCTCACGTTCAGGCAGCTTCCAGGGGAACTGAGGCTGCCTTGAATCAGTCCCCAAGGCAGGAACTTGCAACTGCTGATGGGTTGCAAGACTCTGGTCAAGTCTCTGCCCTTCCACGTGCCTCAGTTTCCCCTCCAGCTCGTCTTTGAGCCTATGAGAGCAGGAACAGGGACTGTCTGTCACTGATTCTGTGCAGTGCCTGGCATGCTGGGGCCAGAAGTGTGAGGGGGTGTGTGTGTCCCAGTGGTGCGAGTGTGCTAATCCTACTAGCAGCATCCTAGGGCTGTAACCACTAGGGAGTGGATCCCCACAGGCTCATGGCACATCAGGCCCCATGTGTCTAAGGGGCAGGAAGCAGAGGTGGGTCCTCCCTCAGGACAGCTGTCAGGGGTCCTCCCTCAGGCCTGGCAGCTCAGGCCATGGATGACTTTTCCCAGACTTGGAAGACCCCCTACCCCCCGCAGACACAGCCGCCTCACACGGGTAAATCGCCTGGGAGCTGAGCTCAGCTCTCCTGCCTGCAGCCCGTGCAGCGCAGCTCCCTGGGCAAGGCAGCCATGCAGCACATGGCTCTGCCAGGCCCCAGCCACTAAGTCAGGCCCCAGAGATGGGGGGGGGGGTGACGTCCAGCCCCGCAAGCAGGGTTCTGAGCGTTCTCGGCGAACCACTGAGGAAAGGGCTACTCAGAGGCGGTGTTACCCTCCTCTCTCCCCCAGCCAGGAGGGGTGGGGGCAAGTGTCACAGACCCGGCCAGGCCCCCTTGGGGAAGGGGCGATGCAGGTCCCCAGCACACACAGCTGGGCAGGGAGAGAAGGGACTCTCAGTGGGGAATGGAGACAGAGCTGCAGCATCACCGCCTGCCCCTCTGCCCCCTGGATGTTCTCAAGTCACAGACCCCTGCAGTGCCCTCTGGCAGTGCAGGTGGCTGGAACACAAGCCAAGGTTCTAAGTGTGTGCAAACCCCGCCCACAGACGTGCTGCTCTCGTGCAAAAACGTAGCTTGCGCCGGTGCAGCTCCCACAGCATGTCTGCATGAAGGGGTTACTGGGGCAGAGCTCCCCCCGAGCGGCCTGCCCGGTAACGTGGGGCTGCAATGCCCTCTCGTGGCCGCTCCACGTCAGCGTTGCACTCAGAGCTGTTGAGCTGGTGTATTTACAGGGGCCCTCTGGCTTGATCCGTGCAGGCTGGGGTTGCTCCAAACAGCAGCTCTGCAGAAATGTGCCAACCGGGGCCAAATCTCCTTAGTTTGTGAGGGGAATAAGGGCAAAGTGAGCGGGTCATCCTGCGCTCCTGGGCTCTTGTCTGCTACCGAGGACTCTGGGATGGACTCCTCCTTGCCCCATTGCCTTCAGCTTCTGCCCCTACTGCTACTGGCAACGACAACTGCCGGAAGAATTGGCCCGCCTCCCGGGGCTGAGTGAGCAGCTTTGGGACGACGCAGGACTGCTGAGCTCTGTACGGAGCCGTCTGATGCTCACCTAGCCCTGCACCGTCTGTGGCCCTCCTAGTCCTGCACAAAGCCATCTGGAGCCTGCTTAGCCCTGCACAGAGCTGTCTGGCTCCCGTCCATCCCTGCATGGACTGATCTCGGAACCACGCCCATCCCTGCACGGAGCCGTCTGGAAATCACACCCAACTCTGCACAGAGTTGTCTGGTGCCCACCTAGCCCTGCACGGAGCCGTCTGGGGACCATGCCCAACCCTGCGCAGAGCCATCTGGGGACCACACTCAGCTCTTCACGGAGCCATCTGGTACCCACCTAGCCCTCCATGGAGCCATCTGGGGACCATGTCTAGCTCTGCATGGAGCTATCTGGCGCCCCCCTAGCCCTGCACGGAGCCATCTGGTGCCCGCCGAGCCCTGCACGGAGCTGTCTGAGGACCACACCCATCTTTGCAGGGAGCCGTCTGGCACCCTCATAGCCCTGCATGGAGCCGCCATCTGGCACCCTCGTAGCCCTGCATGGAGCCATCTGGCAACCGCTGAGCCTTGCACGGAGCCGTCTGGTGCCCGCCTAGCCCTGCACGGAGGCAATTGGCTCCCTATTAGTCCTGCACGGAGCTGTCTGGTGCCCGCCTAGCCCTGAACAGAGGCACGTGGTGACTAATAGGGAGCCAATTAGTCCTGCACGGAGCTGTCTGGCGCCCGCCAAGCCCTGGGCTCCTTCAGCTGGTGCAAGGCCCTCATGTCACTCCCACTTTCTCCACTAGGTGGGGCCAGCAGTCTTCTTTTCCCCCTCCTGCTGCATCCAGCACCAGCCAGGCTCTGCTGGGATCTGCCCTGGCTGGGAAGTGGGTGGTTCTGAGCCTGGAGTCCAGGACTCTCCAAGGGGCTCATTGTCTCTAGTGTTGGGTCATGCCCAGCCGGGCCTGTATGGGGGGCTGGGTCCCCCTTCTCAAACCCCTCTCTTTCCCCCCATCGAACTTACTGTGTGTTAGGGGGCACTCTCCCTTCTGTCTGCACTGGCCCCAGTGCCGTGGTTGGAGAAACCGGGGGCATTTTGATTTCCTTTCCAGTTCCCGGGAATTCCGGCACGGAGATGGGCAGGCAGGGCGTTTCCTGAACTGAAGCAACAAGTAAATCAAGAGACTAGTTCTCGCCTCCGCGCCCCCCATCCCTGAGGCCAGAGAACAGGCATGCTGGCTCCAGAGGCCGTTGTAGCAAAGCCAGCCCCTGGGATTCCTGTTGGTCGCAGCCCCTTGGAGGCCGCCACTCTGAGCCGGCCAGGGCCCGTCCCGCAGCCGGAAAGGCGCAGGGGCGGAACCCTTCTTCGCAGAATTTCACAAGAGCCCAGAGGAAGCAAGACAGGAAAAGGGGTTGGAGAAGGCCCAGAAAAACATGCTGTGGATTCCTGCCGCGGCCTCAGGCGCTGGGTCTCCTTGCAGTGAGAACAGCTAGCCCCCGCTCTGTGTAGCTCCAGGCATGGCCGCACAGTGCCGCCTGGACACCTGGGGCTGTGTCTAGACTGGCAAGTTTTTCCGCAAAATCATCTGCTTTTGCAGAAAAACTTGCCAGCTGTCTACACTGGCCGCTTGAATTTCCGGAAAAGCACTGACGATCTCCTGTAAAATCATCAGTGCTTTTCCGGAAATACTATGCTGCTCCCGTTCAGGCAAAAGTCTTTTTCCGAAAGACTTTTGCGCAAAAGGGCCAGTGTAGACAGCACAGTACTGTTTTCCGCAAAAAAGCCCCAATTGCGAAAATGGCGATGGGGGCTTTTTTGCGGAAAACGGCGTCTAGATTGGCCACGGACACTTTTCCGCAAAAAGTGCTTTTGTGGAAAAGCATCCTGCCAATCTAGACGTGCTTTTCCGAAAATGCTTTTAACGGAAAACTTTTCCGTTAAAAGCATTTTCGGAAAATCATGCCAGTGTAGACGTAGCCCTGGAGTCTGGGGGAGACCCAATAAGCCCCCGAATACAGCGTGTCGGGCTGGGCGGGTAAGCCAGGGGAGCAGCTGTCAGAGGGCATGGGGCAGCAGGGGTCAGTTGGAGGCTGCTCAGTGAGTCAGGGCGGAGGCCGCTGGCTGGGCTGCCAGGGTGACTAGACGTGCTGGGGTGAGCGAGGGCACGATTGCCCAGCAATCCACTGCAGCACCTGCTGCAGCCAGCCAGTAGGAGACCTTGCAAAGCCCGACCCCCTGGCCTCAGCACCCCCCTCGCCCGTAGGCCCGCGGGGGAGGGACTTTTTGACATCAAGCCATGCCGACTGGAACAGTGCTGATTCCCTGCCTCGTCCCCTCTCCCCACTAGCCCCCACTCTCCTTCCAGTGCTGGCTCCAACCCCACCCTTCTCTACCCACTACACACCGCAGCTCCCTAGTCCTGCCTGCCAGAGCGCTCCCTGCCTGCCCACCAGGGAGCCACCACATGCTGCGGGAACCCTGCCTCCTGCTGGGAAGGCTGCCCCGCAGCTCCCCCCCCCCCTTACAGAGGAAGCAAGTTCGTTTGGCTGCCAAGAGCGCAGCATTTCCTGTGCCTCGGTGTCCCCTCCCCCAGCCCCCTGCCCGTGGAACAAAGGCTGGGCCAGACGGCCGCGTGGGCTCCGGCCTCGGCCAAGGCACTTGAAGTGGCCCCAGGCTGAGCGGGGCTTGAGTAGCAGGCCTCCGAGGAAGACCTAAGGATGCTGAGTCTGTGGGAAGGGCTTTGTCTTCCGAACCAGGGCGGGGGGAGGGACTGATGCCCTGTGGGGTACTGGAAGTGCTGCCTTTCCTGCAAAGCCACGTCCTGCCCATCTGACTGGAAAAAGCCCAGAGCGTTGCATCGCACAGCGAGGCTGGACGTGAGCCCTGGGGCCTGCCAAATTCCAGTCCCGCTAATTCCAGTCAGCTTCCTCGCATTCCCTTTGCAGTTTGAATTGGAGACAAACTTGTCTCCTTCACTTCCTGGCTTAAACTGTGGTCTTAAGCTGCTGTTCAACAGCTGCTGGGTCCCAGCCCAGAGGGGGCAGCATTTCAGTACAGGGCCCATCCCGGTATAGAGCTTCTTTAATGTAACACACTTTGGGTGACGCATGGCTGGGTCCATGGCAGCAAACTGACCCCCCAAGACAGAAAACTCCTCCTGTGACCTCCTCTGCAGCTAAGGAAGCAAACGCAGAATCACAGTGTCTTGAGGGTTAGGATGGGGTGGGGAACTTACGGCCCCTGGCTTGCCTGGATCTGGCCCCCAAGGCGTGGGGCTCCCCCCCACCCAGCACTGGGGAGCCGGCCTGGTGCTCCAGTCCATGTGCCCCCTCCTCCCACCCAGACCCCGCCCCCTGCATCCTACCTCCCACGCACCCTCCCTCCCATCCAGATGCCACACCCCTAGCCTGCTTCCCAGCAGTCCCCTCCCACACATTAAACTCATTTTTGGCCCCACCGCAGAGCATAGGGGGCCCATAATATCGACTAGCCTGGAACTACCTAGGCTCTGGTGTGTGCGGGGAATATGGGGAGTGTTTTTCTGCTTCTCAGTCGGGTATTTTTTTTCCTTCTCACTTTTGTGCGGCCCCCAACTGATTTTTCTGTGGGTCAGCAGCCTCCAACCCAAAAAATGTTTCTCACCCCTGAGTTAGGGCACTTGCAGGCTGTAGTCACTAGATGGTGCCACTCCCGGCCAGCACCCACGGAGGGTTATGAGGACACAGGCACAGTGAGCAGGGTAGGG